GTGAATACCTGAATGCGAGGTAGTGACTTCATGGTGTGGCGCGATTATTATTTACACTTCGATAAGGAACAGTCAATTGTGCATCGAGCAAGGAAATTGGCGCTGCCATGGAGCCGCGGGACTGCTGATTTTGACCGAGTTTCTCTCAATTTTGGTGCCGGTAAGTGATTTCTCGATGTCATTTGACTTGCAGCGCGTCCCCTGCGTCCTTCGACTGGCTCGAGCGTCAGCGCGTTGATCTGCGGGCTATTTGTTTCTCCGTTGTTTTTTTTTTCCTTGTTTTTTGCGCAGTAGGAATCACGACTTCTCGATTGAGATTAATGACACGAAGTGACGTTTGCGCACGTGCAATCTACGAGAAGCGTCAATTTCGTTGCAATCCGAATCGCGCGCATCCCCCGGGCGGCCATGATTCGCCGTTTGTTTTGGCAAACGAAACCGGCGCGAATTTTTAGTAGTGTGTATCACTAATGAAACAGATTGGCAGTCGCAGCCTCTTTCCATCGCGAATTTAAACGACATACATCAAGTGATAGCGATTATTATAGTACTTAACCTTTTATAGTAGTTAACCTTTTTTTACATATTTATGCAATCTATATACAATTTACAACTTTATTCATAAGCGCAAATCAAATTTACATTGTAAATTAAAATCTTACACTCTTATGTAACTGATGATTCCCCAGAGGTGATGAACAGTTTTTTTTTATTGACACATGTTATTGATGTTCCTCAAGAATATTGTAAGTGTGTATTAATAACATAATTAATATTTTACTGCACAGTCGCGCAGTTCTGGTTATTACAACATTAATATTAACATTATTCAGTGTGAACAAATTAATCGTATATTATTTAACGTATAAATATAAAGTTAGGTATCATTTAACTTTATTATAATATCATAAATCATATTGAAACATTCACGTTTGCAACATTTTTGTACACGTGATTAAATATATTCAGCGTGCATGAAAATTCTACGTCGAATAAACGAAAAAGAAAAGAATTATCCTCATTTCTCATCGCTCGAGCGCGACACGTTTGTATTTCTTCGTCAACGCCGTTTCTTGAGTAAACATTCGAGACGAAGGGTAGACCGTTTTTACATGCGTCGTATCTTTCATTAGCGCTTTTACATCTTTCGACACGTCACCGCGCACATCTCGCGCGCGAGATTCCGTTGTATACCGGGTGTCCGCATCGTCACGCGACGTCACGAAAGGGGAAGAGAAATCGAATGAAGATTCTGACGTTTAACGATCCAGTTAGTCCGATTCTCTTCTCCCTTCAGCCAGTTTGTTTATGCCAGCGTGTTAGAGTCGCCTGTTCCGTGTCTCTCTCATTCCCTTTCTCTCTCTTCCTCTCGTTCTCCAACTATCTTCTTCACTCTAAATGGTGCCTAGCTGCCTCCGGAGCAATACAAATCACGAACGGCGACAGAGGTCGTAATCCCGAGAGTGGATCGGAGTTGCGAGAGAGAAGTTCAGGGAGAGAGAGAAAGAGAGAGAGAGAGAGAGAGAGAGAGAGAGAGAGAGAGAGAGAGAGAGAGAGAGAGAGAGAGAGAGAGAGAGAGAGAGCAACATATATATTTCCTTGCTCGACGTGGTGATTAGCGCGATAGTAATAATTTCGACGCACAGTTAGGTGCACACAATGTTGTGGTCGCTCTTCGCCTTTTACCTGTGTCTCACGCCGTTTTCGAGGCACTTGGTACACAAGAGGATGCTGGTATTATTCTTCCCAAGCGAACGATCATGATATTCGAAGATCGAAGAAAATTGAACAATAGTAGCATTGTAACATTTTTTTTTTTTAAGACTTCGTTCGTTATCGCTAGTACGTAAGGTGTCAAAAAGACACATACAGATAACGAGGTATGTTACGAAAGTTAAATTGTCTCCGAGATGATTAGTCTCCATTGTAGTAAATCTTTTAGTAGTAGCAGGATAGGTGATTCATAAATATCGTAAATATACTACTGCAATGATCAATTAAACTTTCGAGTAAGTGACAATTTAAAGTACTTCGAAATATTGAAATATTAATATAAATATATATTATTGACTCGCTTTTCCATCATTAATTTTATCATTATTATATTATTTAACATTAACGAAATGGCATCTAAAAATAATTTGATTAATTTAATTATTATTCACATTTCAAAATTAATTTGATTTAATTTTATCGTCACCAAATGTTGAATATTTATCCGGATTATTAAAACAAATCAATTCAAAAATTATACAAAATTTATTTATTGTTATTTATGATTTGTTTACATTGTTATATACATTGACGATTTATTAATATTGAAATTTTTTTGAAACGTTTAAAAATTTAATATAATAATATTTTGCAAAAAGATGTAATGTTTTCGCAGATATTCTTAGGTTTGAATAATATACAATAACATTGTGTACTACACATATGTTCTTACTTTGTTTTCTGTCAATTATTAATAATAGAAAATAGCATATGTTATATATTAACGTTGATCGATTGATACGAGGAAACCGTGAGTCGTTCCCGAAGACGTAACCACTTCGCTTTTGTACGACCTATAAAAATTTATATAAAAGTGTCCCTCGCGCAGCACGACTCGTCGTAAGAACATGAATAATTTATCGAAGCGCGTCCCCTACGTTTCGTGCCTCCAAAGAAGAAAAGAAGAGTAAAGAAGAAGAGGGACGTTGCGCCGTTTACGATCCGAGGCCTGAATTTAGTTCTCTCGGTTCGGCCCTCCGATGTCGTTGAACAATAACAGAATTCACGCAATCATTAATTGCGTGCCACGGATTATAAAACATATCACACTCAATGCTTGAGTGACGCAACAATTTGTCCGACACTCTGTAGAACGAATTGCAATAAACTCGAGGCTCTCAGTCGTAAATTTGTAAACAAATATTTCACTTCAAATAAAAACAGAGACGCGCGAGTTGCACCTTTTGTATTGCAGTGGTGCTTAAAATATTCACTAAATAAATTAAAATCTGATTAATTATTATTAAGCTGCACATGTATAATTGGATCACAAGGTTAATTATCCAAAAAAAATTTTCATCACAGTTACATTTTACAATAGTTACAGAAGAACGGAAGAAGCCACGGAAGAATTTCAATTTGACCTAAAACTGAAACGCAGTGATCCGATGATTAATTAATTAATCGTGATTAAAATTCGTTTTTCTAGACTGCAAGTCTATTAAACTATTGCGATTTCGATTCCGCGCGTGCGTCATTTACGTGCCGCTAATCGGAACATTTACGTGTTAATCTTCGGAGCAACTCGAGAATGCAAACGTCACGAATGGCACGAACGACACGTGAGGTAGATACAATGTAAAATGGCCTAATGTGAAATCCGTAGATCCGAGATACACGCGCAATTCGCGTGCAAACGTGTTCGGAACACGCTGCACGTCGTGTCGCACTCGGCCTGCATGTTGCGCTGCTTTCGTATACCCGGCTGTCTAGATGTAATGACCTGTCCGACTGATGAGTACATGTAACGGCATGACGGCTGCGCGAGATAAAAAACGACCGTAATTTATACGATTTGCTTTACACATCCGTTTATTAGCGCGCGAGCGTTGGTTTCTTCGCCCGCGTTGGATTTGAGCGAGGGGAGGGCGGGGGGGAGGGGGAGGGGGGAGCAGTTTTATACACGAACGATTGAACATGCCAAACCAGTGAAAACCAGGACAATGGGATTTCTTTCCAAATGTTGCGAGTCGACCGAGGAAACGAAGTAGTCATTTTATTTCGGTGCGTGAAAGGTGGCCGTGAGAGGATTTCTGATTTGAGGTTTACGGTACAATACACGGGTCCACATTTTTGGCAGATCCAGGTAGATATTCATGTAGGCCGAGAATATCTGGGATACGTGATTATGAATATAATTTGCGAATATTTATAACGTTTTTTCAATAACGTTATTACGTATGGTTAATATCTTTTATTAATTTTCAAATATTGTGAATATATTCTATTTCATACGCTTTTACTACGATTTTTGTTAAATATTCATATATTTGTTACATTAAAATTAATTATATATATATATATATATATATATAATAATACGAATACAAATTATTTATAATACGAATATCGTTAACCACATTTAATGGACAGCGCGGTCCTAATACAGGTAACTTTATGATGGGATCCGACAATACTCTCTTCGGACGTGTCCATAAGTTCCCATCGATGATGGGCTCGCTAATCGGCCGGCGTACTTATCGCGGAAAAAGTAACGGTACCGAGAGCGACGCGCGATGAGAGGAGAGGCCAGGCGTGTCCGAAGTTATCGCCATGTCGAAGAAAGGCTTTCGCAACATGCCGTTCTCACGACATAAATTAAAATCCGGCACGAGTCGGAGCTTGCCTACCTACCGCTACGAGTTTTATGGTCGTGGACGTCACCGATTCTCATGACTCGCGGCGATCCTTCATCTTCAGCGGTTAGATGTTATAGGAGCATTTTGGTATCGTAATAGGATTATATGGAATATTAAGCTGAAGTATAGCTGGAGACAGATGTCAGAATTTTCGGGTTGAGACGCTATATGGCCTACATTTACGCAAATGTAAAGGACACAACAGAAGACTTCTTAATAAAATTATATTATATGCTTTTTTTTTTTTTTTTTCCTAAATTATTCTTTTCCGTTTGCTGATAAAAATTTTTAGATAAAATTTCACTTGGGCTTGCAATTAAAGGCATAATTTTTCATACAGATTCACAGAAATTATTAAATCTTCATTTGTCACTAACAACTAATAATATAATTCTGCTATATTTAAATTTAAATTTATATGAATGTTTTTATATCGATAAAGAGTGTTAATGAGTGTTAATTCTTGCGATTATCTATTTTTATATTTTTGTCGGTACTTTTGTCATCTTCTTTAACATCTTTAGATTTAGACTTTTGTATTACTAAAATTTCGACTATATAATTACACTCTATAACACCGTAATTTTCAATCGCGTCTTCAGATTGTTGATGATCGTAATTACAACCCGCTCCGTTTCCTCGGGACCAAAGAGAAATATCTGATTTCTCAAAATCCCGAGAACAGAGCATGAGCTCTCCGCGCTCTCTTGCGTAAAGCTTTATCTGCTCCGTTCAGATTAGAAGCGCG